GTTCAGCAGTTTCTCATAATGTTCAATGTAACTCACCATATGACCAACAGTTTCACTTCTAGATATTTACCCATGAAACGTGAAAACACATGCCCATAAAAAGACGTATGCACAGATGTTTAAAGCAGCTTTATTTGTAATAGCCCCAAACTGGAAACAACGCAAATGTCTGTCAACAGATGAACAGATAAACAAATGGTAGAATATTCATACAATGACATACTACTTGGCAATAAGAAGGAACTGAATACTTATGCACACAACAATATGGATGAAGCTTGTTTATGCCGAGGGAAAGAAACCAGACACAAAAGACAACATATTGTATTATTTATATAAAATTCTAGAACTACAGCAAGTCATCTTTATTAACAGAAAGGAGATCAGTAGTTGCTCAGATCCTGGAATTTGGGGCGATTGATTGCAAAGGAGCATCTTTTGGGGTGATAGAAATATTTGATATCTTGATTAGAAGAGTATTATATGTGAAAAACTCATTTAACGGTACACTTAAATGTGCATTTAATTACATGTAAATTATACCTCAGTTAGTTTCAGAAAGAAAAAAAAGGAAGGGATAATGCCAAATTGTTGCCCATCATTGGATGATAGAGATTTAATTTCTACTTTTCCCATTTGGATAATCGCTTTGGGGGTTCACTTATTGAATCATCCCTCCTTTCCCCATTTTTCTGCTTTGCCACTTCTGTTATGTATCAAGGTTCCATGTATGTGTGGGTAGGTTTATGTGCTTTCTGTTCCATTTCCTTGGTCAGTTTGTTTATCCTGTCTTAATTACTTTAGCTTCATAATAAGCCCTTTTATCATCATTCTTTTTCTTCAGAAATGTCTCGGCTATTCTTGAGCCTGTGTTGTTTTGCATACACTTTATAAGGAGCTTATCTGTTTCTGGGTTCTATGAAAAATCCTATTGGAATATTGATGGGAATTGTATTGAGTTTATAGATGAATCTGGGTAGACTTTGAGTTTCTGCAGTATTAAGTCTTTCCATTCCTGGCTGTGGTCTATCTTTCCATGTATTAAGATCTTCTTTACTGTCTCTCAGTACAGTTTGTAATTTTTCCCTGTAACATTCCTGCACATATTTTGAAAGATTTATTTCAAGGCATTTGATGTTTCTTATTCTGGTGTAAGTGAAATCTTCCTTCTAATTATGTTTTATCGTGGTTTATCATTGATGTATAGAAGTGTGATTTTTTGAATATTAATATATCCAGGGAACATTTGCTTTAGAAAGAAACTCATTCATCGATTTAGCAGAATTTGTCGCATGTGTGTACGCTTTTAATATTTTTGTAAAGTGGTGGTGTTGAGGGAAAGCTTCCCCAAAGTCCTTAAGTTATTTTTCATAGTCAAGTCTCTACATGTAAGGTTGGTCCTGAGTCATGGGAAGAGGGTACTAGCTGGAGCTGTGGTGTTTCCAGCTTTAAATTTAGTCAGCTGTTTATGCAGTCGTGGGTGTCAGTAAGAGGCATCTCTCGTCAAGCCAGTATCCTTCTTTTGGGCATATTTTTTATTGAGGTATAACTGACAAATGAAATTATTTATATTTAAAGTATACAATGTGATGATGTGGTATACACACACATTGTGAAATGAATACCAAAATCAAGTTCATCAAGCCAATATCCTTGAATGAAGACATCCACGTATCTTCCATTCTAGGGATGGAGGCTGTCATTGTTAAAAACGTGTCACTCTTCTCTTTTAGTATCCGGAGTGTGATGCAGAAGTATCTCGAGGAGAGACATGAAATCACTTTCGACAAGATTTTTAATCAGAAAATTGGTAAGCCTGCTTGTTTGTTTGGCAAACTGTAATTCCAGTCGTGGTATCGGGTGACGCCACAATAATGTATAAATGCAGCCCCTAATGCTGTTACATGCTTTATAGCTCAAGCTGGGGATGAAGGAAGTTGCATGTAATTAATAAGATACTGAATGATTACTTATGTCCCTAATACTATCTCTTGTAAGTAAGCTATTGGAAAACAGACTAGTTTGGCTGTAAGTTTTAAGACAGTTTGGGAGCTTCCCCAAATCAAAGGATTGGGTACTCGGAAACCAGAAAGAAGCTCTCTTTGGACCCGCGTCTCAGGTCCTCAGCTTCTCTCACTGATCTTGTACGTTCCGTGATCACAGGGGGTTGGCATGTGTCTTCATAAACCTCACCCCGCTCTTGTGTCTGCTTCCAAAGTGTGGGGCTGGCTTACTTGATCAGTTCTCATGGGTTTATGGGTTTTGTTTGCTGCTCACTCTTGTCAGTTCCACATCAATTTCCCTTATTCCTGTGGCTCCATTTGGAATCTCTACTTAGCCAGTCACCAGGACTCCCCCTGTTGTGTACACAGAGCTCATGGACCCATGCCCACCTCTGGCCAGCGCTGGTCTCAGCCTATGCAGATGTGTGGTTGTGTAGGAGTGCTCTGTGGTGACCGCAGTTAGTGCCCTAGAGAAATTAGGACTGGACAGGAATTGCTTTAGTGGGAATTTCAAGACCCACAAAGGAATGAGACACTGTATTCTCACCTGCCTTCTGAAAGACTGGCAGTTTGTTTAAAGGTGACTGTCGGCCGAGTTAGATGAGAGCTGTTGGCCACCTGTTTTTTTCCCCCATTCCCCAAAATCAGTTCCCACTGTCCAGAAATTTCCTAAACGGTCTTTTGTTCTTGAGGCTAGGATTCATCATTTGGCCTGTCATCTGGCCCTGTTGTTAACTTGCCCACAGTGGTGTATAAGCAGATCGTGCTAGAGTTTTTCCGTGAAATACGCATAGCTGAATACAAGAGACCAGGAAGTCTCTTTGCATCTTGTTTGCCTCCCACAACTGCTCAGAGAAGGTTTGCGGAGGAACTGTGTCTGAGTTTTTTAATTAACTTAATACTAGAGGATTACTTTGTTAAAATTTCAAGAAATTAAAGTCTTCCTAAGTTTCCTGGAACTCTGCTTCTGCATGTAGTTTTGTTGCCATGATTCGTAGACACAGGCTGGGACTTTCCTGGCGGTCCAGTTGTTAAGACTCTGCGCTTCCACTGCAAGGGGCATGGGTTCGCTTCCTCGTCGGGGAACTAAGATTCCCGCGTGCTACACAGCACAGCAAAGAAGAAAAATAAAAATTTCCATAGACACAGGCTGACTGATCCCTTTGAGACTGAATATTCTTAGAGATAATTCTGGGTCGCCCTTCCGTGTACAGGTAAGGAGGTGTAGACCCAGGTTGATGAAGTGACTTGTTCTGATCTGACGTTCTTCTCCTCTGATAATTCTTTCAAGGCTCTTGGAAAGGAAACCATGACTGTAAAATACTGTAGAAAGTCACCCGGTAAAAACTGGAGAGGTTTTTTGTTTTTTTAGAAAGAGTTACAGTGATCTCCTTTGTTCAAGGAAAGCAGAAACCGGTGCGGAAAGTCTCTGGAAGTTTGTGAACCGCTTTTTGTCACAAAGTAGCCGTCTATGAAGGCAGTCTTCTGTAGATGTGGCTTCTGTGATAACCCACAAAATACAGTGGTCAAAGGGCGGCTGGCGTGCTCTGGAGAAGCAGATGAAGAGTAGCCCGTCCGTTCTGAGGACGACGTGGGGAGAGCCCTTAGCCACATGGAAACGTTTCATCCTGAGCATCAGGATTTGGTGGGGGAACAGATTTGGCTTTCATCTCATCCTTTATTGCTGCTTCTCGTTGCTTTCATGGTGTTTGGTTACCTGCCATCTATATAAGTGCCCTCCTTTGCTTCTGATTTTGTACTGAAAAGCAGAAAATAAAACTAGCCTGATAACAAGATTGAGAAACTCCGTAACTTTGGGAGGGAAGGCAAAAAAGGAATTCTTTGTTGGTTACTTAAATTTTTAAAAATGTTTTACAGCTTTGTTGAGATATATTTGAGATCGCATAAAATTCACCCATTTCGAGTATACAGTTCAGCGGGTTCTCGTGCATTCAGAGTTGCATGACCGTCAACAAGTCTCATCACAGAACATTTTCATCACCCCAGAAAGAAACCCATCCCATCAGCAGTCCCTCTCCATTCTCCCCCTCCCCCCAACCCCTAAGTACCACTAATCTAATTTCTGCCTCTGTGGATTTGCCTGTGTTGGACACGCCACACAAACGGCATCATAAGAAGAGCTAACACCTGTCCTTCTCAAACGCTTCCAAAATACAGCAGAGGGAGAAACACTCCCAAACTCATTCTACGAGACCACCATCACCCTGATACCAAAACCGGACAAAGATGTCACAAAAAAAGAAAACTACAGGCCAATATCACTGATGACCATAGATACAAAAATCCTCAACAAAATACTAGCACACGGAATCCGACAGCACATTAAAAGGATCATACACCGTGATCAAGTGGGGTTTATCCCAGGAATGCAAGGATTCTTCAATATACGCAAATCAATCAACGTGATACACCATATTAACAAATTGAAGGAGAAAAACCATATGATCATCTCAATAGATGCAGAGAAAGCTTTCGACAAAATTCAACACCCATTTATGATAAAAACCCTCCAGAAAGTAGGCGTAGAGGGAACTTTCCTCAACATAATAAAGGCCATATATGACAAACCCACAACCAACATCGTCCTCAATGGTGAAAAACTGAAACCCATTGAGATCAGGAGCAAGACAAGGTTTCCCACTCTCACCACTCTTATTTGACATAGTTTTGGAAGTTTTAGCCACAGCAATCAGAGAAGAAAAAGAAATAACAGGAATCCAAATCGGAAAAGAAGAAGTAAAGCTGTCACTGTTTGCAGATGACATGATACTACACATAGAGCATCCTAAAGATGCTACCAGAAAACTACTAAAGCTAATCAATGAATTTGGTAACGTAGCAGGATACAAAATTAATGCACAGAAATCTCTTGCATTCCTATACACTAACGATGAAAAATCTGAAAGTGAAATTAAGAAAACACTCCCACTTACCATTGCAACAAAAAGAATAAAATATCTAGGAATAAACCTACCTAAGGAGACAGAAGACCTGTATGCAGAAAATTATAAGACACTGATGAAAGAAATTAAAGATGATACAGATAGATGGAGAGACATGCCATGTTCTTGGATTGGAAGAATCAACATTGTGAAAATGACTCTACTACCCAAAGCAATCTACAGATTGATTCAATGCAATCCCTATCAAACTACCACTGGCATTTTTCACAGAACTAGAACAAAAAATTTCACAATTTGTATGGAAACACAAAAGACCCCGAATAGCCAAAGCAATCTTGAGAAAGAAAAACGGAGCTGGAGGAATCAGGCTCCCTGACTTCAGACTATACTACAAAGCTACAGTAATCAAGACAATATAGTACTGGCACAAAAACAGAAATATAGATCAATGGAGCAGGATAGAAAGCTCAGACATAAACCCACGCACATATGGTCACCTTATCTTTGATAAAGGAGGCAAGAATATACAGTGGAGAAGAGACAGCCTCTTCAATAAGTGGTGCTGGGAAAACTGGACAGCTACATGTAAAAGAATGAAATTAGAACACTCCCTAACACCATACATAAAAATAAACTCAAAATGGATTAAAGACCTAAATGTAAGGCCAGACACTATCAAACTCTTAGAGGAAAACATGGGCAGCACACTCTATGACATAAATCATAGCAAGATCCTTTTTGACCCACCTTCTAGAGAAACAGAAATAAAAACAAAAGTAAACAAATGGGCCCTAATGAAACTTCAAAGCTTTTGCACAGCAAAGGAAACCGTAACCAAGACCAAAAGACAACCCTCAGAATGGGAGAAAATATTTGCAAATGAAGCAGCTGACCAAGGATTAATCTCCAAAATTTACAAGCAACTCATGCAACTCAATGTCAAAAAAACAAACAACCCAATCCAAAAATGGGCAGAAGAGCTAAATAGACATTTCTCCAAAGAAGATATACAGATTGCCAACAAACACATGAAAGAATGCTCAACATCATTAATCATTAGAGAAATGCAAATCAAAACTACAGTGAGGTATCATTGGATGCTGGTCAGAATGGCCATCATCAAAAAATCTACAAACAATAAATGCTGGAGAGCGTGTGGAGAAAAGCGAACCCTCTTGCACTGTTGGTGGGAATGTAAATTGAATCAGCCACTATGGAGAACAGTATGGAGGTTCCGTAAAAAACAAAAAATAGAACTACCATACAACCCAGCAATCCCACTACTGGCCATATACCCTGAGAAAACCATAATTCACAGAGAGTCATGTACCAAAATGTTCATTGCAGCTCTGTTTACAATAGCCAGGACATGGAAGCAACCTAAGCGTCCATCAACCGATGAATGGATAAAGAAGATACGGCACATATATACAATGGAATATTACTCAGCCATAAAAAGGAATGGAATTGAGTTATTTGTAGTGAGATGGATGGACCTAGAGACTGTCATACAGAGTGAATTAAGTCAGAAAGAGAAAAAAACAAATACCGTATGCTAACACATATATATGGAATCTAAAAAAATGGTCATGAAGAACGTAGGGGCAAGACGGGAATAAAGACACAGACCTACTAGAGAATGGATTTGAGGACATGGGGAGGGGGAAGGGTAAGCTGGGACAAAGTGAGAGAGTGGCATGGACATATATACACCACCAAACGTAAACTACATAGCTAGTGGGAAGCAGCCGCATAGCACAGGGAGATCAGCTCGGTGCTTTGTGACCACCTAGAGGGGTGGGATAGGGAGGGTGGGAGGGAGGGAGTTTCAAGACGGAAGAGATATGGGGACATATGTATATGTATAACTGATTCACTTTGTT